ACACAAGATGTGAAATTGAAACTATAATGATCAGGAAACTCTATTGAAAAAAAAAGATTAGATTCCTAAAATTTTTTTATTCACCGATGTGAAAGAAAATTTAAAAATAAAGGTTTGCATGTCAAAAACGTTAGATCGAGAATATTTTATGACATATTTTTATTTCTCTAGAAAAAGGAAGTCTCATGAGCAATTTTTTTTTTAACATTTAAACAAATAACCAAAATTTGCAGTTATGAGAAATAAATTTTTTCATCATTTTTACTATTCTGCCTAATAATTATATAATCAAAAACGGAAAGTAGCAGGGGTTTTTTCAGTTACTAAACACTTGCCAAATTTAAACTTATCTAAAAAGTTGCGAACAATACCCAAATTTTTCTATAATCATGAAACAAATATAAAGTTCATAATACGTTGCAAATTAGAACTTATCATAAAGGGCATAAACAATTCACGAATGTTCTAATAATCATACAACGAGAGTAAAAATTAGTGTTTTTCTTTTCAGTAGTTTGTAAATAAGTAGCAAATTTTAATTTATTTCAAAAGGCACAAACAATTCATACATTTTACAATGCAGCCAAAAATAAAAAATAATAATGTTTTTTTTTTCAACCGATGATAAATGGGTAGAAAACTCATCTTAAAGGACGCAAACAATTCACAAATTTTCCAGCATCACTAACTTGAAATTCCTAAACTACACTGATTTTCGAATCCGGGGGAACACTTGTGAATAAATAAGTACTTAATTCCACTAAGTCTATCGCTTGCGGCAATCCATCATTAACAATGCACGACACAGTTTGTGTACAGTACTCTTGCGCATTGATAACATAGAGCTGTCCCGACAAACAACCCTTTCACATCCCCTGATAGAAGGGCGCGATAATTGGAACAATCGAAATTGAAAGAGAATGATTCTGATTGACGAAGTGGATTCATTGAAATCACAGATGTTCAATGTGTAATGCTAAACATAAAAAGAATTAAAATTTTTCTTCCTGCGTGAACAACTAGGATCGAAGTCAGTTTCCCCGTTTTTGAGTATTAAATTTCATAAAGTTTGATGTTTAAACTAATTAAATATCAATTTGCGAACTTATTTATAAAAGTAATATAAGAAATCTATTTATCTTTTTTTTTTATTTGCATATTCAACTCTAGAATAATTAATTTCATGAAAATAGATTTGTTTAAATTTAAATGAAACTACTAATTTGGCAATATAATATTTTAACTCGTTTATATATATTTTTTTTGTTATTGTGTGTATTTTAGAAAATATAGCTTCAATATAAATAACAAAACTATATTCATAGAGCATTGTAGTTTATAATAAATTTTGATATTCTCTTGGGTTACTGTTGTTGTTAAATGCTTGAATTTTTGAAATATTTAAATATAATTATATTATTATAATATTTTTAACAATATGATTATTATGTTATTATAGTTTAAACAATAACAACATTTTATATAATAAAACCTAAATACTTGGCAGTTTTATCTTCTTACGTTAGTTTCTTACGCTAAATTATAAATTTTTTAAATTATTTATATATTGTTATTTTTATTATTATTATTATGTGAAATAAATTTCCTAATTCATTCACATTATATCTGAATCAAATTATATCTGAATCAAATTATATCTTATTTCAAGTAGAAAAGTATAATAACTTCATGAAAATTTAAATATAATGTAATTTTATTAATGTTGTAGGTATGAGAAATCCCTGATAAAATGCTACTGTTTAGCAGCATTTTGTAAAATCTTTTTATTTCTATTTCTTGAAAACAAGAGTTACATCACATTTTATATATGATTTCTTATAGATACGATATATGAAAATATGCGGCTAAGTTCTAAATATATATTCCATAAATGTTTCTATTTTAAAAAGGCCGCTAATTTTTAGTTATTTTAAGTAAAAATGCTTTTATTAGTTTTAATGTCTAAATCAATACCTTACTGAATTCATTCTTGATTATTTTGGATAGTTTGGGAATAATATATCAATTTGTGTTTTAAAATAATTCATTTCTCAGCTGCTTCAAAATAATGTATTCATACTAGTTTTGCTAAGATTCAATGTTTCGAAACAAATGTATCTGGATAATTAAAAAAATAAAATAAACTTATTTTCCGTTTGCTTATTCTATTACTAATATCTATCATTCAATAACAAGTATCAATTATACTATCAAAAATATCTATTATTATATATATTATTACTTTATTTGCTGTAAATATGTACCAATATACAAACATCATAGTATATATAAAAAATACATCTAAAACAAATTATACATTGATTTTTACCATAAAACACTTTATATAATTTTCAATTAAAATTTTTACATCATTTACTTTTTATAGTATTTTTTTAATTTTACTTGGAAATCGTTTTGCATTTAAATTACTTTAACCTTCTATTGAAAACTGGTGAAATTTCAAAATAGTTTGTTTTTAAAACCCACTTTTGAGATCAGAATTAATTGAAGTGACAATAATAAGGAATACAGGGTACCAAAAAAGCGTTTTAGCCGAATAAAATAACAGTTAAAATTTTCAAAAATGTTGCAACAAACGATTTAAACTGTTGTAGAATACTATATAGTTTCAACAAAAGGAATATAGTTGTAACCAAAAAAAGCATCTTATCGCAGTTTATAATGACAATGGTATTTCATTTGTGAACCATTCTAAAAACCATTGCTGTTAAAGTATTATTATCTATATATAATTCATTAAGCAATTATTAGTTAATACTTTTATTTGTCTAACGTACCCGTTAAGAAGGAATCCGCTTACAAATTGAGTCTTAAAAAGCGAATGTATAAGTTTTTATTCCGTTTTTTTTACACTTGTTTTTCTTTTATTTTAAATAATTATAAAAAAATTATAGTTAAATGTCAAAAAAACATATGATAGAGCAGGCATAAACTTTAATACATTATTTAAATGTAAAATTAAATATGCGATCTGCATATCAATTTGCTCATTTATGCGTACATTAATGTATTCAAATTAATTCATTAATCACTATGAATTAATCATTATGAAATATATTCAAATAAATTTGTTTTAAATAATAATTAAGTTTTGTTTTCAATAATAATAACTCAATATAACCCTTAGTTCGGGCTTTCTCCATGCACGCATTTTCCCTTCTTGCACGCTATATACAAAAAATATTCATAATTAAATATAATAAAAAATGCTGGTGTGTAACTATTGTATTTTTTTCCTTAAAAGGAAAGTGAACAAGTCCTACAGAGGAAGATCATGCCCTATTGTGGTTCACTGCAGGTAAGGTAGTTTTCATTTAAATAAAATATTAACAATGCAATTGTTTTTAAATTTAACCTTGACCGTAATTCTTTTTTAATATTAATTTATGAAAACGTGTTTACGTTACATTGTCAAGAAATTGAAAACATAATTCTTATCATATTATAGCTAAAATTAAACTATTGCAAAATTTTAAAGCAGAACTTCAGAAAAAGTTTTATTAAGTTGTTGAATTGTTGCCATGGTAATAGACGATACAAATCTATCTATACAATATAATCAAGTAATATGGAATTAAAGAGAATCGTAATTGACATTTAATGCTGTTAAATAATATCAATCAATGGCGTGAAAAAGTGTAGACTTAGTCTTCTTATCTCTCATCTTTTCTAGAAGAGAAAAGGAAGTATGTTTTTATATATAACTTTCTGGTTTTATTTTTAATGAAATAACAATCCAACTTCATTGTGTGAAATAAATATTAACACTGACACTTTATCTTCTGTTGAATATATTTATATACGTGATTAGAATAGTGCTATCTAAATTTAACTACACCGAACCATGTTTAACTCTAAAAATTATATTTTTCCATATATTATTAGAAGATTATGTTCTGTAATTGTTTTCTGGGTGTTGTTTTGGCATTCTCTCATTAAATAGGTAAATTAAATAAACTAATCAGTAATAGAGAAACATTAGTATAACAGTAATAAAAGTTTTAACAGCATTTATGTACCTGTAAATTATTATTTATACCGCATGTAACGGAATTATGTATTATTATCGTTTATGTATTTACTCAATAACACTTTTAAAATTATTATATTTTTTTTATCATTATTCTTCCTTTAATCTATTATCTTGAAAATAAACTGCTGTACCTTTATCGTAATTGAAATAATCTTTTATAGGCTTATTACAAAACTTTACATTATTACAACTACTAAACTGCAAATAAGTTTAAATTATTTTTCAATAAGTTATATTAATTTTAATCATAAAATGTTTAAATTTCTCCCCAGTCGATAATTAAAATTAAAATAATGATGCAAAGTAACGAATCAAAACTTTAAACAATGTTACGAAACAAATTATTAGCCTGTTTCTTAATAAACTCTTTGTAAAAAACATTTAATGAATTTTATTGTAAATTAAAACAAATAAAAGCTGAAATACAAGATTTGAGTATGAAGTTTCAATTGAAACAGAGAAAAATGATTAGGTTTAAATTTTATCCGACTGAAACAGGGCATGCATTGATAAAATGAAACTAATTATTACTAGCAATCAGTTTATATTTAAGAAACGTAAAGTATCGAACCGAAATCGAGGGTTGGTGACTGACGTGAACAAAGAAAAACCCTCTAATTAATGTTTAAAAATAAATTGTATATTTTCAAAAAAAAATATTCATAAAGACACATAGTCATTTTATTTTTAACTCCAATCTAAAATATCTTGAGACAATAAGTAGCGAATGTTAATGATTTGATTATGAATATACACATCCTTTTTCTTCAATAGTTAAATGAATATTTAAAATAGTAATTTTGTTACTTTTAGTAATTAAAGATAATTTAAATTACAGTTTGTAAGTAACATTTACTTTTACAATTTTCTCTGAATAACAATGTTGTATAGCCTAATTTTATTTCCGTACGATCTTTAATTTCATAAAAATTCTTTCTTTTTTCAGTGACGGAATCGGCCGAACAGGGACTTACTGCCTAATTGATATGGTATTGAATCGGATGTCTAAAGGTAAGTAAATTCCACTCAAGTATTACTATTATTCTCAAGTATTACTATTACTTAAATATTACTATTATTCCACTCAAGTACTACTATTTGATTTAAATTACTACATTTAGTCTTTTGGCAACAAAGTTCCCGTCGTTTTCTTTTAAAAACTTAAGGTTGAACGAGCTGTTGGCATAATAATGTGTTTGGCATAATAATTTAAATGATTCGAAAGGGGATGTTTTGTTCCTCTAAATAAATTATTTTCATTGTTCGAGTAAATTTTTGTTAATTTTCAGATCATTCAAATGGAATGTAAAGTTTTTAAAAAAATTGTGTTTTCAACATAACATTTTGCTATTAATCAAGGTTCTAAGGCGAGAAAAGTTACTCGTGATATTTGTGCTGTGTACGGGAAAAGAGCCATAGCTGAAGGAACCACTCTTGATTTATATTCCAGGCAAAAAAAAAGAGAAATTTGGTTCTTTAATTGCATCTTGTATATGCCGTTCTGTTTAATTGTTAATCGAAGAGTGATTAAACCAACTTTTGCATGAAAATATGTAAGAAAGAACAAGGAAACTAGCAAGAAAAATTGAATGTCCCAAAGTCTTAAACTTTAAAAAAAAAACGATGGGAACTTAATTGCCAACTCAATATTAAAATGATAATTAAATAACTGTTTTTATTTTTTCAATAAGTTTAAACTCTACTTTACTATTAGGAGAAGGAAAAAATAATAATAATTAATAACTTAGAATCTTAGTACATTTTAATGTAAGCTTTCAGTTTTTTTATTTAAATAAAAATATTGAAGAAACATAAATTAAATATTTCATTTCGAAAAGTTGTGAATAGTGCTAATTAAAAAGGCATACTCTATATCCAATTTTAACAAACTATATAAAAAAATAAAAATTTGTAGTAAAAATTGTAAATCGAATTCGCTGTATATATTCAAGGCTCAATAAAAGAATGTTCAATATAATACTTACCATTAAAGCAAAATTTAAATTACATAAATGGTTTACCTTGATTTTTAGTTTTGTGTTTCAAATTTACTTATTTAGCATCTTTTGGCATTCTTTTTATCCTAAAAGATTAAACGCTTTACGTATACTACCAAAAATAATTCAAATAAACATAACGATGTGAAAATATACAGTATTTTATAGTGTTATTGAAAACAATTCAGATAGGAAGTCAATCAACTAATCCCCTCTATTAGAGGTGATAAGAAATAGATTTACATGGCGAAACAATTTATCTTGCATTCATGAATCCTTATTATCTAAAAAAATTTCTGAAAAGACACATGAACTCAGGAGATAAGCAGCTGAACTAGAATCCCTGGGAATTTCTTTCAATAAAACTAATTTAATTTTGCTTTCGAGAAATACCATCCTAATTTACATTTTTTTCAATTTATCCATTTTATACATTGTTTATATTATTACAGACACGAGGTAACACGAGAATAAAACTTTACTAAAACCTTTATTGAAACCTTAACAATTTATAATTGAAACGTATTGGTAGTTAGTTACGTTGTACCTTAAAATAACCATGCATACTTTTTATTGATATTGCAGGCGCGAAGGAAATTGACATAGCAGCTACTTTGGAACATGTCCGAGATCAGCGTTGTGGAATGGTGAAAACAAAAGTAAATTATGCTTTTCTTGCCTTTTTTATGCATTTATTTACTAGGATTGATTTAAAAGCAAACCTGAAACCAATTTATATTTTACCTATCTTTCAATTTTATATTTTTATAAATAGTCATGAAGTTTTCTATTATTTAGGAAGATATAAAATTTATTTAAAATCTTTCTCAAATTAGAAAAAAATTTGAATAATGGGATTTAGGGACTAACTCACTTTTCTAGGTGACTTTAGATTCGAACTCATTTGGATATAGTTATTTTATTATTGAAGTTTAAAAAAATACATAACGTGGTTAGTATGTATAAGTTAATGTTCACTTATGCAACTTTTTAGTTCAGAAGAGAATGCAACTCTTGGATCAAATATTGAAACGGTTTTAATTTCACGAGAATGTGAATGAAACTCGCATTTACAAAATCTAGATTAAAAATTTAAAAAAACGAAACACCATTACCTCAATTTTTACTGTACTCTAATGCATGGGGCGTCAACCATTATAAAATTTTTAATCAAACCATGGAGATAGGTTCAAGCCTGAAACAGTATACGAATAAATCAACTACCAACGAACCAAAATCATTCGTGTAAGAAGCGAAGACACTGTACACTGAACCATCCCTGAAAACAATGAACATTTTACTTCTTTTCATTTTTTTCACCCATCGCAGGACTCGTAGTTAGACAAATTTTCCTGAGTCAAAAGGTTTCGTCCTTATTTATCTTTATATTCTGATATTCTTTTGTTTTTGTCTGTCTACGAAACATGACATTTTCTATGAATACCCATGTAGATTGGATTTTAAGATAATTTGTTTAAATTTTTATCCAACATCTTTTTTATTTTAATTAATGAGGCTATCAAGAATTGCATAATCCAACTGTTCAAACTTAAGAACCATCGATATATATGTAAGGATCAACCGTGTTTAAACCTGAAAAACAAACCATTCTCAACACGTAAAATGTTTTGGAATGGATCAAGCGTGTTTGAACCTGAAAATAAACCATTCTCAACACGTTGTAAAATGTTTAGGAATGGATCAACCGTGTTTGAACCTGAAAAACAAACAATTCTCAACACGTTGTAAAATGTTTAGGAATGGATCAACCGTGTTTGAACCTGAAAAACAAACCAATCTCAACACATTGTAAAATGTTTAGGACACATAATAAAAAAAGGACTTTAATTTTACAACTATATTATACTACCAGTTAATGGTTCAACTTTTGCTTAAACTATCTTTAAAAAATTAATTTACTTTCATATTTTTTAATTTTAAAACGAATTTTGAGTTTCATGATTTTTAATTTTAGGCTCAATTTGAGTTTGTGTTGATGGCCATCGCCGAAGAAGTTCACGCAATCTTAAAAGCTCTATCACAATAGTCGTCACAAGTACTTCAACAACAACAATATATTGATGAATGGCAAAGAAAATCATTTTGATTACACAATATAATAACCTATCAGAGCGTGAACTACAGTAACCATTTGAACTACTTAAAGATAAGTTCTCTTCCTCCCTGCATTCAACTCTCTGCCCCATGTAAATTAAGTTTATTTACTCTGTGATTGTCTATCTATGTTTCTTAATGGAAAAAATTTGGTCAACAAGATATACACTTTGCGAACATTAAACTTTTTATTCAGCGAATATTTCTAGAGCTCTAAATATACCAAACTTGTATATAAAACAACACTATTTAATGTATCAAGCTGTAAATATTATAAATCAGACATATCCTTTTAATAAAAAAAAATATTTTCTGAAAATTATTCTTTTATGAAATAATAAAAGTGGATACACAAAATAAAATTTATAGAATCACTATTTACAATTTAAAAATTATTTTGAAGTATTTCATTTCATTTTATTCATTTTACTAACGATTTATTCATTTAATTAATTTTTTACCAAATTAGTCAAATATCAGTAAGGAAAAAAAGAATATCTGGTTTTTAAATTTTGTTGACCAAATTTTTTTCGTTGAAACTTTATTTCAACTATTTCAAGTAAATCATTCTGTGTTATTTATAATATATATTTAATCCAACCTACTTAGTCATATCTTAGGAAAAAATAGTTTTTGAAACTACAAAATATGACAATTTTTTCCTTTCTAAAAGATACATGCATGTTAACTAAACTATATATTCTGTGTATAAATGTAAATCTGTGTGTTTAAAAAGCTAGTTAATTCGCATAATTACTTTTATTTAAATCATACCACATATCTTATTTGCATAAAACTCAGGCCTCTGATATACCTTTTGGTTTTAAAGAGATATAAAAATATTACTGAAATAATTTTGAATCAAATGGTGGGAAAACTGAAACTGAAATTTAATATATGCATAAAGTGGTTTTTTTTAATTAAAAATCTACATATAGTAATTATTTAAACTAATTGCGATAAACTAATAATAATGATTTTATTGACTGAGATACAAACTTAAATATTTGAAATTTTCTCCTGAAAAATGGTCACATACTATACAATTATGCTACTGCAATTTAATTAGTGTACATTACTGCATTTAATATTTTACGCTCATACACGGAGAAAAAAAATCTGGTAAAATTATTGTACTGTATAGTAATTCCATTACTGGTAAAAGAAACTATATAGTTTAGGTTAGCAAAACCGATCTTTAAATCATTCATTTGATAATTTTTCCGTTCAAATAGTAACGATTTACCAAAAATTCTGACTTTTCAAATTATAATTCCTATTACACCACACTTAATTAAAAACACTAAAAAGACTAATTTATTCATCTTTATTTATAGTTTATTGCTTATAAAACATTTTATAAGCAATTAAAGCAGAAAACTGATTTGAGACTGAACGATTAAAATAAAACTCCAAAATTTAATTGAAGAAAACAAATATTTCAGCTGGCCTGTAAATATTAAAATTTATTATAATATATATTGAAATTTATAATAATATAAATTTTTAGTTTATAGCAATTTCCCCAACGAGCTTTAATTCGACAGCTGGCTGTCTTTAAATGAAATATAGTTATAACTTAGATGCCCGTAAGCATCCTATTTTCTAACTATTTTCACATTTATACCACACATTACATAGCTATATTTTCGAGATAAAATAATATTGTTTTAAATATAAAATTTAATTAACACTGTATTTCAAGCAAATAGATTCATGTTAAATTAAAAGAATATACAATTTTCTGGCCTACATTTAAGTTTGGAATTTTTTCTCTCACACTCTCACTTTTCTAGGTGAC